GCCAAACAGCGAAGAAAGTATTATAAAATAATAAAATAAATTAAAATAAAATAAAATGAAATAAAATAAAATAAAATAAAATAGCAAAGAATGAATGAGATAGCTCCTAATAAATATATGATGAATAAAGAACAACAAAATTAAGAATGGAGCAAATATGTAGAACCATAATACTATTTATTCAGTCGTTAGATAAACCTTAACAGAAAGAGCCAGTAGTGAAAATATGAGAAAGGACGACAGAACTCAAAATTGACGACGGTCAAATTACACACAGAGAGATCTCTGATCTGCAAAGTTCCCTTGAAGACTGTAAGAACACTGCAAAGAGATGACAAAAAAAATTTTTCCAGTAAAACTTAATCAATCCCTGTCAATCGATTGAGCCGTTTGTGCCTCAACCCGTATCTCGTCCACCCTCCCATGATGCCAAGGAACAGAGGCTAAAGAACGAATGTCTGCGAAAAACTCGTTGGCAAACGATTGTTGTTTGCAAAAGGCCGAAAAATGCTCTACTGTAATGTTCAACTGCTACCGAGATTAGAAGAAACGACGAGAAATCGTTGACGGAGTAGGAGCTCTTCGAATTCGAACAAACAGTTAAGTAGTTAGTTATAACTAATTATTGAATAGATATTGGAAGTTTTATGTAGTACCCTTTCCTTTGATAGCACCAAGTTCTTAGGAGAACAGCGAGGGTCTCACCTTGGACCAAACTTTCAAATAGAAAAGGCGTAGTCGGGAGAAAAAATTGGCTGGCTATCACACCTTGATCTAGCGATAAATCTTATCAAAAAAGTTTAGTGCTTCGGACTATAGAATTCTACAACCGACGAGTTTTACCATACAACTTAATTTTCAAAAAAAAATGCAGTACTTGACAGACGATTCGATAATTAGTTCATTTGGATTTTTTTGCAACTTCAAATTTTGATTGCACAGCGAAAAAATGGTTTTTCAATGACAAAATCAGTTCAATAGAAAAAAACGAAAGGCAGAAAGGAATTATGGCTTTGTATAAATTTAAAAAGAAAATCAAAAATAAAACTCAACAAAAAAAGAAGTAAGAAAGAGAGCTATCTACTAGTTACGTACTATTTCAATGTAATAAACAAAAATTTAGTCAACACAGAAAACGCGAAAAAGGCATATAAGACTAAAAAATCGATCACAACAGGAACATGAGCCGGACCATCATCACAATAAAGTTTTACAGCTACATCATGGAGAAATTTTCAATTGTCAACTTTATCTCTACAACAGTAACAGGTAATTGTAGAATAAATGTAAAGGTAATTAGGACGACATCACAAAATTTCTGAGTTTTTCTTATATTCCCCCTTTTCCTTCTCATTACAGAGATGAGAACCTTTTTCTGCATTTCGCGACATTCACTATTCATTTCCTCTTTATTGAGCCCTATAGATCGGAACCACCATTTCTTGCGACTGATCCGATCGCACTTACTTATAAGTTACCTACTCTGAGATAAATGTGCATTTCATCTGTCACTCAATGTGATGTAATGAAAGAAAGAAAAAAATGAAAGACAAATGGCTCAAGTTAACTCAAGGGGAGTTGGTTTTGACTGGCCGTGAAGCCAACTGCAATCAGTAATAAGTTGTCAACAGCCGAATGTTTAATAGAGATAGCAGGGTCCTCCTCACTATACTACTTTGGATCTATTTTGCAACTGGTTATATTTTTTTCTGCAGAGCCACTACTTTATTTAAGGAAAAAATGGAAAAAGGGGTAGTAGTTCCAGGATGAATGGCCTTTTCTGTTGACACAATAGGGTTACGTCCAAGTTTTGACCACTACGGTGTTTGATAAGATAAGCGGTTCGGGTTTTGTCTCCCGGAAGTGCAGTTGCAGGCGTCTCAACTTGGAAGCTTGCTTGGATTAGCCCCCAGGAAGGATCGATTACGAGGAAAGCAGACCATCTAGAGAGCATGACTATAGGGACTATAGGGATCGTTCCGTTACATGCCAAAAGTAGTAAAAAATATTCCGATATTCGAAACATGGAAGGATAAAATATTAAAATCTGAGATTTCAAAAAACATCACTATAATTACAAACAAATATAATATAAACTCTCCATCTTGTTTTTATTGTGATGCATTTCTCTTTTTTTTGCTTATAGGCCAACTGCAACCTCAATTTACTTTTTTCTGTGTGATTGATGGGCACACCCTTGAAGTCTGTTTGAGTAAAACAAATAAATAAACATAATGTGTATGCAAAAATATAAAAAAAAACAAACAGTATCAATAATATAGCAACAAAAGTAGCAAAAATAATTATATATTGATTTTCAATGAACTCTATGATTTGTGCTGAAAGGAATAAATATCACTATATAAACATACAGTTTTGCAGATATAGGTTCAAGGTAATAAATAGGCGATTGTTAACTGTAGTGTTTTCAATAACTCGATAAATAAACATAAATATAAATAGAAAAAGTACCCGGTGGTAACATCACCACATGAACATGAACTTTGAGCTATGAATAGAGAAGTTCAGAGACAGCATGCACTCAAGAATTTAAAAAATACATATAAATTTAAATGCAAAGCGAAAATATAAATCTGAATACCTCATTCGACAAATAGGGCAATAAATAAATAAAACAACGAATAAACAAATATAATTATAAACTTGAATTGGAGAATAAACAACTTTTTGAATATAATAATTGAGATACTCACTCGAGGAATAAATATAAATATAAATGTAAACATACATAGTGATGAGAACTTGATGCATATGGAATTTCGCAATGAAAAGAACAAAATAAATATAACTTTTTCGCAAATATGATTTTTGGAACGTAATTAAAGATAATGGGAGCCAATCTGATCTTAATTGCTTGAAAAAAAAGGAGGAGCAGGTGAGAATGAGTTATGGAGTGTAGGGAGGAGTATGAGCTGATTATCCGGTGGCTGTCACCACCGCCCATCTCTGCAGCATTTTCACCCGCATTCTCCGACCCACGAACAAACACCCACACATGCAGTCTGCCGAAAAATCGATAATGGCCAACTGCAAAAAACGCATCTTTCAGGGGATGAAGCATGACCATAGATGAAGTATGTTTAACTGAGGAACAGCTGGCTGCACAAATTCGGCAGTATGAGCACATATAACGGCAGGCCAACAACTGTGGGCCCGCTGTAGCATTCAACCGTGCACCAGTTGCGGTGTTCCCAATTAGGTGATCTACCGGTATCAGTACACTCTATTGAGCTAAATATTCTAAAAATGTCAATACAAAGCTCTAGAAGGAAAATAATGGATGATTTGATGGAAATAAAATTAACGGCGATTCCTTCATGAATGCGCCACGCATTCCGCACAAATATATATTATCCATGACTTTGAAACCCTCGAAGTACTTTGTAGTATCCAAGACCTCCATGGCTTAACCGACTTGATTCCAATAATGTGAGGAAGCCCAATACAAGGACTATTTGTGGAGCCGTGAATTATATTCTCTGTTGTCGACCTATGTTTAGAAGCTGTCAATAGGCTGAGCCCGAGGGATTGGCAACCCTTAGCTGAAGGATAATAGTGGTTCAAGTCTTGAAGCGTTAATCGTTCCCGTCAGAGCGATGCGCCTACGCATTCGACGTCCATTCTGAATCGTAGTGGCGTATTGTATGCATATGAGGGCCAAACGATGACATGTGGGGGCCAGACGATGTACAAGACAGCGCTTTCATCCTACCAAGCGATTCTGGTACCAATTACTATTATAGAATGCTTGGTTGGCCTAGGCGATATTGATCCGGGATCCAGGAATCAAACCCGTGACCATGCGTGTGTGAAGTGCGCCACATGCCACTTCACCCACCTCTTAGCTATATGAAATGAATATTAATATGGAACGAGATCTTCCGTTATGTCTTCCGCTACTTTTTGTGAGTAGGTTCATTACAAAATTAATGCCCTTGAGTTGCTACTCTGGAGACTTCAGTCCAGCGCGAAACGATTACGACTTGAACGTTAAACAGTAAAGGATAAAGGATCAAGTTTCTGGCGTTTATCAATCCCGTTTGAGAGATGCGCTCCCGCACTCGACTCCATTCAGAATCGTAGTGGAGTAATGAGTGCGTATGTGGAATATACAATGACTTGCGGTATCCAGCCGATGTACAAGTCAGCGCTTTTATCCTCCCAGACGAGTCTGGAACCAATCTACCGACCCCTGGAAATGGGAGGCTTGGTTACCCTAGGCGGGCATCGATCCGGGTTTCGAACCCCTGACCGTGTGTGTGATATAGTGCGCCACTTGCCACAGCACCACCTCCGCCCCACGTTGAACAGCACCCCTTGAAATGTGGGTATCAAAGATCAGGCATAATTTATTTATAACCCAAAAGACCTATCCACTCAACAAATAGAGTTAGTAGGCTCAAATGACTGTATGCATTAGAATTAACATATGAGGTCCTTTGATCAAAAAGCTTCCTCCACTCGCCGGCTGGACTCACCCCAGAAGAATTTTTGGAGCGAAAAAAAAACAAAAGGGGGATCAGAATTGAAGTAAACAAAAACAATAAAGTTTGCCGCGGTACTGCTAGCAGTTTGCCCTGTCTTTCTGCAACAGATCCACTCCACTTATCCAGAGTTAAATCCCATCCCGTTTCAGAAAAAGCCCTGATCTGATCTCACCTGGTTAGCTGAAATCAGCTAACGTATCCTACCCTACAGTATACTTCCACATTCCCTCTCAGTTGAAGTCCAGCAGGGCTCCCCAGCATTTGCGGGGGTTCTGGATAGACTCCACCTTGGTTTTTGCCTTTGGATGTAACTACCCTTTACACAAAATCTTTATTGGACAGAGAAAATTTTATGGTTAAAAATTGCTCATAAAATAATGACAAACCATACAGTGACAAGGAGTTGCTAGCGGAAAAAGGACCTAAGGTCATACTGACTTGGTTTAAAGGTATCTATGAAGTTTCACATAGAGTAGAAGGTTCCGGACTGATTTACTTTTCTTTACTGGGTGCCTTCTGAATTGGAATGCTCTTGCCACGGCCGATGGCAGGTTGTGGAGCTAACTTTGGAGCTTCGATCGACAACTTCCCATCTTCGGTAATGCTGGATTGAAGTTTTTCCACATCGACATCTTTAGGGAGCGTCCACTGGCGCACGAATGATCTGAAAAAGGGGATTTCAAGGAACAATTGAACTTGGTGAAGCGGCCCACAACGCTCACCTCAAAGAGTAGCCGTGCTCTTCGTTTACCTCCTGCTTACCCTCAACTGTGAGAACTCGACCTTCGAGGTTTACATTGAGATCTTCCGGTTTGAATCTATTGACGTCTAGCGAAATGGCCAATTTCGTGTCATCATCCACAACCTAGAAGTACTCCGTTCGCTGGCAGTCGGTACGGTAAGGCACCGTAAGAAATGACTTACTTACCTTATCCAGCTGGCCCATTTGTGCTCCATCACTTCTGGTGTGAGCACGAAGTGCTCGGTCGATACCATCGAACTCGGAGAAGACGTCGTCGATCAATCGAGGCAGAAGAAATGCTGACGAAGGAGCCAGACAGAGAGACATCGTCGTTGAACACAACAGCTACTAGCGTCAACTGAAATGAGGAGAAAGGGTGGGACTTACTTGTTTACGACGTTTGCCAGCAGTGGAGGCACATAGGGGGGACGAATACTCTCGTGATCTGTTCCATGGTTGTTTTCGGCTTCGCTTCTATACGAGTTGCCGGGTGCCATGCCATTGCGAGCTCGCAGGCCCTGCTTGGCTAGGAGTCTCCCTCCGCTCCTGCCGTATTCCAGTCGCAAAGCGATGCCTTCTCCTAGACACCGATTATATCTGGAAAGGAGGTTCTATTCAGGTGGAGGTACCTCTCCTTTGCCGCAGGAGCCTTTCTGGATCAAGCATATGCCATGCAACCACGAAACGACTCAGATATTTCATTTGTTGATTAGCTGTTTCTCTTGTTTTCACGGTATCCCGCCTCATATTGTTGTTCATTCGCAACCTATCGTCAGTAACGATTGATCAGTGTCTACGACTCAACTTTTCAGCTACATAACTTCTTACCGTACTGCCTAACAATCATGGAATTGCTTCTGGTGAATCCGAATTATATGAATCGCTTAATGTACGATACAATGAGAGATATGGATCGAGTGGAAAAAAGTATTTTTCCATATTGGAGAAATGCTGACCACTCGGTTCTTCATGTGGCCAACGATTTAGAAGTAGGTATTTCTTGTGCCTACGGTATCTAGGAACTGTGAACTTGCTGCAAAACAGTATTTCTTATTTCTAGGCTGTCGATGACGATAAGAAGTTCGCCGTCTCAGTGGATGTATCCCAATTTCGTCCAGAAGAATTGAACGTGCACCTAGATGGACGAGTTTTGACCATCGAAGGCAAGCAGGACCACAAAACTAAGAACAGCACGCTACACAGGTAAATACTCGCTTTCCGAAACGGTTCCTTCCGATTCCCAACTCACCCCTTCCAGGTCATTCACCCGCAAATGGCTGCTACCGGAAAATGTCGATCTGGAAGCAGTTCGTACCCAGGTGGACGAGAAAGGTCATTTGGCGGTAGAAGCACCGAAGCATATTGAAGGCCATCCGAAGAAAAGAAACATTCCCATTATGGCTGCTTCTTCTGCCAAAACGCCTCCGGCTAAAAAGTGAATCCAATATGAAGAATACTCTTAAAATCATCTTTTCATACTTGTTTGTCATGAAGTAGACAACAAATTCTTGAATTTCATTCTATGTACTCTTTGTTGCAAACTAAATCCGTGTAAACATTTTTTTTGTAGTTGAAAATCCCTGTAAACTTCATTCTAGCACTTTCCATGAAATAAATGCATTCTCATTTGTAATATCGAGCCTAAATGTGAATAAAAAGTTTTTCTTAGGAGAGGCCAAACTGGCGCTTACAGATTGGCATGTAAATTGAGGTCTGAGAATCACATTGTCGCTGACCTTCCCAACCTCATCATCCTCTACAGAGAAGTAGTAGCTGCTCATGAAACAGCACCATCAGGTAGACCTTGGGATATACCCTTGTCACTCCACCCTCGCATGCTGAGATGGCCCAGTGGTAGGCATTCCTATGGGGCGATAGAGGATCTTCTATAGGTGATGGTGGATCGTCTATATGTAACAGAGGATCGTCTCCAGGTGACGGAGTTATCAGAACATGTTCCCGTTCTCTTCCTCCATTTCACTATGAAATAGGAGGCAAACTAGGTTATATTGAGGAAAATCTTTTCCTTCGATAGCTACAAAATGAATTTAGTTTAAATATTATTTTTTTGTTATTTGGGACCAGTCTCAGATTATCGCTTTGTCATTCTTTGTCTCTCCCCCCCCCCCCCCCCCCCCCCCCCCAGGGTCCGGCCACCCCGCAGGACGCGCCTNNNNGCGGTGGGAGCGAGGTGAGGTGGGTTAGACCTGGGTGGATGGGGGGGGGGGGGGGGGGGGGGTGACGTAAACACGGTCTAAGGATCAAATCCCGCCCACTCACAGCTAAAACTTTCGGACCTTACCGACCGATAAGTCGGCGCGATACCTCAACAAAGTGACTAGTGAAGGGTGAAACGAAGCACTCAAAACTTTAAGTGTTTAACTTACAGACCTCATTTATTGTTGACAAGAAGAAAACACCGACATATGTGTAGGCCGTCCATTAAACAGCCAACTACTCACTCAATTCCCCAATTCTTCTTATGATAGCTGGTGCATGTTTCTTACCGCTCCATCACTAAAAAGAACCAAAAAGAGTAAAATTTTCGGTGTGAAGCAATCGTTTTGAGGTTGCGCTCCGTACCCTACTTCCATTCAGAATCGTAGTGGCGGTTTGAATGCGTATGTTGCCAATACAATGACCCGCAGACGCTAGCCAATGTACAAGTCAGTGCTTTTGTCCTCCGAGATGAATGTGGTTCCAATTAATCGATCCCGTAGTGATGAAAGGCTGGGTTGACCCAGGTGGATATCGACCCAGGATTCGAACCCGCGACCATGCGTGGGTGATAGAGCGCCAATCGCTACTACCCCACCTCCGCCCTCCACTTCCTAATTGTAATTTTAACATGCTAGAAAATTAGAAGAGTTATTATTCACGCCTGAGGTCAACAATCGTCTACTACCATGATGGTTTACCCAATACTCACGGCTTCAGAAAAACATCACATTATACCATGTTTACGTGAGCCCCTCCAGCCAAAACAACAGTGCAACGTGGCAACACCCCAAAACAAACTCATGGATTTTTCACAACTTTTTGATCCAGAAGGATAGCCCCAGAAGGATCACTTCACCTCCAAGGCAACTTTAATTCCGCGCTGTTTGTCGGAATTTGATGGGATATTTATATTGTTGTTTTGGAAAAAAAATTGGAGTGACGTTGAATCACTGCAGACAATCGATCTCACACGCCTCACTAGTAGAATAGCGAAAACAAGACACGTGGTCGGAGTAAACATGAGATCCCGCAGCTATTTCAGGCTGCTATGCCCCTGCTTGAGTAATATTTGATGCAAACTGAATATAAACAGTAAATAACAACATCAATATTGTAAATAAAAATAATCATAATAGACGATATGGGGTTGCCATGGCGGCACCATTTGTTGGCAACCCCATATCGCACCCACCGGGAGGTTTAATTCCGTTTCGGCCATCTAAGCGTTTCTTTCGGGGAACGAAACCACCTACAGGGATTTGAAATTTGATTTTGACATCACCGCCCATATCGTCCCTTTTCAAGTCCAATATATCAGGAAACGGATATATATAACTAAGCCTGAAGCCAACAACCGTTTTTGTTTTGAAGACCAGACGAGCGCCCTTTCACAGCCACTGAATCGTATCTCATTCCGAGTAGAGGTCGAAGACATGGCCTACCCCACTGCACGAACACCCTCCTTACCCATGAGGCTGCAGTAATGGCCAATAACAAGGCACCTCACCTGAAAAAAAAAAAGAGTTACCAAATTCCAGCTGGGCAGGGATAATTTATTACTCCTACAAGTTGAAGCAGTAAGAGCTCCCCATCTACTCCATGACCAGCTTCAAACCAAGCCCTTTCTGATTATTCCATCAACCTTTGAGAACACTCCATTTACGAGTCCTTCATTGAATTAGGCGTAAATTAAATTACCATCACGGTACTAATCATACTCAAACTTTTGGGTAATGGCTGTGATGAGTGTTTTCACGCTTCCCAGAAGGCCTAGGCGCTTATCGATCAACTACTAGGCAACCCAGAAGGCCAGAACAACAAAAACACTGAAACCACCACAACATCATCAGACCTTGCCATCACCAAAGCGCGTTGAGGACTACTGGTGTATACTATTTACCTTATAACTGAATTAGCCAAATGCCTTACTGCCAAATGCCAAATGCCCAAAAAGGCTCTAAAAAGCATTCACCTCCTTACATGGGACCAGCTTACAATTAGTGCCTAAGGAATAGAACAATCCAGCAAATGTTTCATGTAAACGATAAACAGTATTCCAGACTTAAAACGAAATCAAACTTTCACAGCCTACGGGACCTTCAAAGTCCTGAAATGTCAATATAAGCGAGAAATGAAAAAGAAATCAATAGTTGCTTAATATATCGAGAAGGAAGACATTAGTAAGAGAAAACAACTCAGTGCACTCATGAAAAGTAAAACTAATGGGTGTGAATGTTTACAAGTGAGAATAGCGATGCTAATATAGATCATTATACAGAAATCATCATGCATTTGTTGAAATCACCGCAAATGAAAGCTAATCACGTAAATCAAAGAAAAGGATGCAAGAGTGCTATTGCAAAGCAGCTTCAATGTTAATACATTACATGAGTTGATATAAATATACATATACAGAAGAAAACCCGACTAAGCATGGAAACGCGTACTGCAAGCTATTTGAAGTGTACAACGAGAGAATCACAAATGAAGCACATTTACCACGATCTAGTAGATTTCGAGCAAATCGGAAGGCTGCACACTCGATAAACGATGAGAAAAACTACTTCTTTCGATTTCCAACCTGTTTCTTCGACATTTCCGCTTCCATGGCCTGAAGTTCTTTCCACTTTTCGAGTCGCTCTGAAACAATTATTCATGTTCAATAATTCTCTGAAAAGTAGAAAAAAATCAGTAATCGCTGAAAAAAATTACCCTAAAATTCCATAGATAAGAGCGGGTGAGCCTACCGGTGTAAAATAAATTGGAAAAAATCGAAATTGAATGCAGTACCCCTCTAACTTGATGGATGGGTAAATTAAACCTCGAGGAAGAAGTTNAACTTCTTCCTCGAGGTTTAATTTACCCATCCATCAAGTTAGAGGGGTGACTGCATTCAATTTCGATTTTTTCCAATTCATTTTTCACCGGTGGGCTCACCCGCTCTTATCTATGGAATTTTAGGGTAATTTGTAGACGGCGGTCACGTTTAGAAAGTAAAAATGAAAAGCTTGGATAACTGCTATCTGATAAACGAACCTAGACACTCGGTACCCGCGGATACTACTTTCTTCATCTGAGCAATGGAATCTCGTACATATTTCTCCGTATCGTAATCCACGGTACTTGAACGTGAAAGTAAGTTGCCTAGATCCTTCAGCCACGTCTTCATGCTCTACAACAAACGAAATAAGGACTTACTTCATAAAGGGAAACGAAGAACGACTATCACCTGTTCAACATTGTATTGACTGTAAAGGGCATCTTCTTCAGCAGCGTTCAGGTTTGAGATCATTTTCATCATGTCGAATGTATTTTTATCGGTCCCCTTAAGTTACAGAATTTCTTATTCCATAGGTGAAGGACAACATTAAATTTGCTCACATTTCTACTGCAAACAAGTGAAAGATCAGCATCTTCGTTATCTCCATCATCACCAGTTCCATCGGTTCGCAACATCAATTCGTCATCGCCCATCGGTGGGGAACTACCGCCTTCATCAGCTCCAAGCTCCTTTACCCTATGAATTGTTTCTATTTCGATTCTTGTCAGGGAATCTGCGGGCGACCCTCATATGTTCTAGACACTGTGGAAGCTGGATTTTCAGGGTTATTTTATTAAAATGCTTACTATGGACCTGAAATTCAAAGTTTATCAGATAATGAACACCTTCACATCTTATAGAACCATCCTCTTGGTTCCAAATCTATGGTTATTTTTCGTGATGTAAAATTCTAACTTACCTATCCGCATATCGTAAGGTGTTGATTGTGTGTTCGCATGAAGACATGCCAGGACTGATCATTGCTATCTGAAAAAAAAGAACAACTTGACTCCATTATTTTTCTTTTGAACAATACAAACAGAAAATGCTTCACCAGAAGATCTAGGCAAAGCCTAAAACTAGTGAATTCCGAACTTCTCAGAGCAATTTGCTTGATGACACCAACTGTCAGTCGTAGAAATTAAAATAGTGGAATATCTCACCATACAGGTTCGTGCCTTTTCTCCTATAAACGAGTCGCGCAGCACCAAAGTCAGCTTTGATGTACGGAACGGGACATGTTGACTATTTTTCGCCATGGCGCGGATACACTCCTGAACTATTTTTTGAGCTCGAAGAATATCATTTTTTGTTTAAAAAAACGGAACAATACCTCTTCTTAAAGTGAATCAAATATGTACACACCTTAAGAGCCAGAAGTGACTTGTTGATTTCAGCTCCCTCATGCCGCGTTTGCCTATCAGAATTACCGGTATCTTGACCACGTTCATTACCCGCTAGGTCAATCAGTGAGAACTTCCCCCACAATTTTTTATCTCTGAAAAAAAATGAAAGTTGAGAACAAGCGATAACACGTTGCACGATGAAAAAAAACGCACTTTCGAAGCACAATTTGAAAAACGGCATGCGATCTGCTTGAATTAGAGTTTGCAGACGTTGCACCCGCAGTGCGCATATCGGTACCTTGTCGAATGAGTTCCAGTACCTGAATATTGCCTCTAGTTCCGAAAGACACTTCACTATACCATCCCTTTAATTTGAACCTTCAGTGTATAACAAGCTCAGCAGTCTGAATTTCAACCCACAAAGACAAAAAGATCAGAACAAGGTTGTCGGCTACCAACTCACATCACTCTCGGACGACACTGGTAACTCTTGGAGACCAACCACTTGCACTTCTTTTTTGCCGTCTTCCAAAACTCGTAAGAGCGCCTTATGTTTCAGTAAATCGAACACCTAACCAATGAAACTATTTGAATGATGTACTCTCGAGAGAAAGAATCTAGAGCGATGACACTGACCTTCCCGCCGTAAATTTCGAAAAAGCTGCAGCTAACAGATAAATTAAGTTTTCTGTATTGTTGAGAATGTTGCATCTTGAAGACGTCACTAGCCGTGAGGGCATAAATACCACTGGCACAATTCTGGAAAGGGATCGTCGTAACTATGCCTAGGCATCGAATCAAATTTAAATTCCCAAGAATCAGTTCCACGATAATCTGCGGTAGCTTGAGAGGCGACAAATTTTTGCCAAGAATATCAAACAAAAAAGCTAAAGTCCTAGCCAGAGCAAAAAGATACCTGATTCCTTCCTGTAAAGTCCCCACCCATAGTGTGAGTCTTTCCAGAACCCGTTTGCCCATATGCAAAACATGTAGCAAATCCCTGCTCGAAAATCGTTTTGACGAGCGGCTGCGCTGTGAATCTAAGCCGGATGGCCATTACACGAAGGCAGTGGAGGCTTTTCGAAAGTAGGGAAAAACGTACTTATAAACCATCTCATTGGAGGTGTTCTCATCGAAGGTATAATCGAATCGAAACTTCTGATTATCCAAGTATTTTGTCAGGTCAACTTTGACTTGCGGTTGGTGAACGATAAGATGGTCACGATTTGGAATTGTTATTACCTAAAAAGTAGAATGAAAGCAGTATTGCTTCAGATCAGTACTCACGAAAAGTGAACCAAAGCTCAAGAACGGACGTACCTCGATCTCTTTTCTACTGATTTCCTTCTTATTGAGTGGTCTTTTCCTAACGCACACAGAAATCCTATTGTCAACCACTTGATCACTCATTTTGAGTGGACGATAGTCAATCTAAAACAAACAAACATTGCAATAAATGAGAGAAATTCAATATCGCTGAACTTACCTGGGATTGATATTCTCGTATCATGAGCAAGAATTGATAGTTCGGATTGCCGGGGTCTATATTCTTCTCCAACTCTTTCTGCTTTTTGACATTATTCTGAAATATGTAGTCGCACCATTTATACTCGTCCTCATGGGCTAGGAACTTAAAAAAAAACATGACAAAAACGTAGGCAATTATTTACCAGCTGCGCTCTTCGCTCCTCACGCTCTTTCTGTAGTTTTTCAATATTGGCGACCGTGGATGATTTCACTTTCGGTTCGGGGATAAGCACGGTATCATTAATATCTGCAAAACATGCGTCATGTGCTTATTGATGACAGAAAAGAAACACTTCGTATGATTTAATTTCAGGAAAGCTGAACATGCGAGTAAGCCCGTTTCTTTCATAACACTCGAGTAGAGCGGTCATAATCATAGTCTCAGTTTATAGCCAAGATCTGGCAAAAAAAAACTGGAACGAGAAAAAACGGAATAAGCAACAACAGGAACATGATTCAGTGCTGGGTGATTGTTCAGTTCTTTCCCCCTTGAATTAAGTTTTTCGAAGCAACAGTAACAGAACCCTACCTTCCATTTCAGACGATCGTGTCATTATAGGCTGCGGGTTCCGGTCAACAGGAGTAGTAGCTGCACTTGCAGCAGCAGTACGCTTCGCTACAACTGAACGCATACATTCACAGCTTCAATCGAAACCCCGAGATATAGCTCCTCGGATTTTGTTAAACGTTCACAACAAAGTAACGTTCAAATAACTCACCAGGTATGACCACCTTCTGCGGTGCGACTAGCCCACGTGGTGCAGCTCGCTGAGTAGGAGGATGAGTGTGAGTATCTTCAGCAACGACGGTAAGATCGGAGCCACTGCCAGCACGGTCAATGAGCATGGATCGCCTGCATAAAGAACCCCGTGTCATAAAAGATAGATAATCTAAAGGAAGATGAAAAATGTCATGGGATACCACGCACTATTCAAAAAAAATTCGCAGTTTAAGTAACAACGTTAAAACTAGTGTTTCGAGACCTTCGAAAGAATTCAAGGCTGCGTAGCTTTCCACGAATTTATTTTTACCAAAATCACAAAAAAAAACATTCTGTTCACGCTATCCTAAAGAAATAATCTGCATCCTTTGCATGCACAATGGAGCGACGCATAGAAAGTTCCGATAATGATAAATTCCCTGTATACTACGATAAATCTTTTGCAAAAACGCACCTATCCTGAGCAAGAATCTACACATAACGTAACCGAAAATTGGTCGAGTAGAGTTTCCATTAGGTTTTGCACAAGATTGTCAGAAGAAGAGTGCGGATTATGTGCACTACTCCGCACTACCCTATATCGTCGGTCCATTTTGGAGAGAACGCTAGCTTACTTTCTCGACGAACGAAAATGTACTTAGAGAAAGGATTCGTATAGTCGACCTTTCCATTAGCAACCGTTGACTCATCACGAGTTTACTCTACTTGGCTGCGGAGAGGCGCTTAAACGATTCAGTGTTGGTGGTTACTCTGCCGATATCCAATAAAATTGTGTGACTGCAAACTATCACAGTTTCAAATGAATTTTAAGAGCACGAACTTAAGCAAAGAACGCTCAGCGAGCAATTTCGCATCTCTTCTTCTGGAGAAACCTCTAACGGTTATAATTATCGTGTTAGCTAGATACAATTGAGAAAAGGTAATGCAGTAATATGTGTAAAAGTCAACTAAATCATAATCCTGCTCTCAATCCTACCGTGCTGCTGCCGCAGAGGAGCTAGTCTCAGTAGTTGTACGGTGAGTAGGAGCCGCCACTCTTTTAGTGACGCGAGGAATGTCGAACAACATTTCATTTTCGTCATTGCTCTCCTGACGAAAAGGCTCATTCACACAAGGTTAGGAGAATAACAATAACAAGAAAAAACAGAAGGAGCTTGCGAACTAACGAAAAATCTCTCTTACCTCATGAGCATGGACTAACGTCTTTGACAATTGGTCCTTCCCTTTTAGTGTTGGATTGATAGCGAGTAAAGCCGTTAGATCGATCTCTTTTCCTTTTGTTTCACCCTAAAAAAGGGGTTGATAATATTCAGCACGATGTTCTGTAGTCGAGGCAATAGTCATTGAACAAGATCCTCCAATCAGTGAACCACAGCAATTTTGAAAAGGGTGTCAGGAAAATAAAGGTTACGGGCATGCCAATGTTCCAGAACCGGGGAAAAATAATTGGCGACGCAAACAATGTAAAGAATTTACGGAAGCTAATGTTAATGAAAGGAATAAATTCCAAACCATGTCGCCCTAGTCCTTTCCCACTCTTCGTTCAGAACCCTAAACAGAAGGAAATGCGTTTTTATTCCAGTCCCGCTCCACTTCCTTGTCCATCTCGAATGCCGCTACACTTGGCTAATTTTACGGGAGCTGAATCGGCGTCTTGCATTACCTTGGCAACAACACAATATTTCCCGGTGAATTATAACTGCCCCTTTATGACCACAATAACACCTTAGCGTCTAATAGCAAGATAAAATTCTGGAGACAAACACACGTTCACAAATGAGTGTGCGTGAAACAGACGAGACACAAAATAAGACTAGCAGCACATGCTGAAATGGTCCCAGCAAAACATTCAACACCAAAAGGCATCGTCAAAAATCAGGTCGTCACCAAACACTTGGCTTATCGCCTTTGCTTTGTTAAATTTTAAGGACCATCATGAACTTTGGACTTACATCAAGGCATCGCTGTTAGAGCAGAACAAAATCAAAAAAAAAAAAAATTATGCTGTGCGGCTGTACAGGTTTCAACAGATAAACTCACTCGCACGAACATACCAAGTTAGCTCATGCCGTGAGAGCCCCTGATTTTATAAAAGACTAGTGCAAGTAAAATTCAAAGAAACCGAAAAAAAAATTGTGCAATTGTCAACGAACTTAAAAGCCTGAGATTCCTACGTTTTCTACGATTCTTGACCCCACTTAAATTGTCACAAACATGTGAAGGTTGCTGTACTGCGGTTATGTCGTAACAGGGTATACTACTTATCATCGAGATCCCTAGTGCGGTGTTCTACGAAGAAAGAAGCTGGAATTTGCTGAAGGATTAAGTTTTAGCATATTTCACTAAGAAAGTAACACTTATTATTAATAGAAAATAATGTGCTTCATGCAAAGACTTGGTGATTGCTGTTTTAGCATACGGCCGTGATGAATGATCCGTTATGATAATTTTAGCCTACGAGATGATTCTACCTTCCGTCATGGGCTCTATAACCCTTCAGACTTCATATTCCGCTGTGCAAAGGATGAAAACAGTGAGCAGGTAAATATGGTGAGAGAGCGTGCGAGCACGAACTTCTCTGCTATTCGGACTTTTTGTGGGAATGCTGGGCAAATGTAATTCACTGCATCACTAATTATCAATATAAAAAGATTATCTGATGCCTAGCTGAGCAATCCACCACGCAGATTCACATCAAATTCTCCAACACCATAATATGAAAACTGAATTGAAAATTGCTGACATTTTGTCAACAGTTTTCAAGGTATGGGAATAAATTCTTATGACTTCACTGCTCCACTGCACGTTCCCGTGCCCTTATCTTGTCAGTAGCGTGGGCTTTTGCGCATATTCTCGCTTGCCGTCCCATCCCAGGGACATGCACTAGCAGTGACTCATAATTATTGGCAATGCTTATACGCTCCCCTACTATTTCGCAACCAAATCATATCATTCATTGAAGTTTGGCAGGAGGCAATGATATTTGTGCAAAACTCATCGTTCACAAGCAAATTTATGAAGAAGTTTGTTTGAAGGAGGATTTGCCCTCAAAGACGTAGTAAGCTATTGACTAATAGTGAACGAAGGTCTGTCAAGTTCAGTCAAATTTACCTTTTCAAACCATTCAACAAGCACTGCTCGACGTTCGGGTTTCAGTTGAGAAACAACAGCCCCGTGAACCCGACCGTCTGACCTGGAAATAAGATGTTAAAAAAATTGATTGATGGCGAAGGAAGAACTACCTATCATCATGTGATATTGCAATAATCGATACCATAATTGGAATAATGTTTGCCTATGTAACTTTGGATTAATTTTACAAAAAGAAATAAACATTTTTGATTGAGGATTCCTTTTCACACCCACGTCATACGATTAGCGAAAAGCGAACTGAGCCCACTATATGGGATTAGAACAATCCGTAAGAGGTTTGTTATTACTCCTGACGAAAAAGCGATCAGCTGAGGGCAGAGTGGCCAAGATTGAAGATGATGGCCTGATTCTTGGGTCCGAGCCCCGCCTAGTATTAACTGAATCTGAGCAAATAAGAGTGACCTAGATTCGAGAAACACATTACATGAAATAATGCAGAAGGAAAAATGATCGCTACCACCGACTTTCAGAAAGGTTTTTTTTACAAAATTCACCATCCAATAAGACAAAATTCACCATCCAATAAGAGAGGCAAACACAAATATTACCAAATTTAGGCATCCTTAATTATGCAGATTACGCAAGCTGTTGAGAATTTCGACTGCTTTATGTAGTGTCTGTTGCTCGGCAAAAATTAAAGCCTATTCCAGCCCTTGGAAGGGAGCTAACCGCCGACGAAGAACGAAAAATGAAACGTATCGTACTATCGTCCAGTCTCTTTCCAGCTTTGAGATCAGTTTTACGATAGAGACAAGGACCAGAACTTTGAATCATATTTACTCTCCGTCTCAGACTGTTTAATATTTAAAATATGAGAGAAAACAACTTTTCATACAGTGATTTTTTGGACCTCCTTGCTTTTAGTCATGTCTAGAACGAACCTTTGAATGTCGACGTGCATGCCGACTTCGATCCGCTCCATATTCCCGTTTGAATCCCTGACTAACGGCGGGGGACGACGTGGCAACCCTAAAATCGCTGACGATGTCAGTCTTGGTATTGATCGCGTCACATAACTCATATCTTCCAGAGGTAAATAACTGATAGAAGCGTTCTTCAAACTAATTACACATCATCTGTCCAATAAAACTGTTGAAATACTGCAGTGTCAGCACTTGTCGCTATACTCAACAACAAGGGGATCACTCAAAAAGTTACACCTACTGCAGGGCGTACCCATTGTAAAGTAAATGGAAAATGATACACGGGTAAAATTTTCCAATGGCAAAGCTGTTCGCGAAGTT